TCATTATTATCCCCACAAAATTCTGACAATCTAAAAAATATTTTCTGGTTTTAAATAACCTGCAAAAGGTTGATAAGCCGTAAAAAAAAACAAATTAATGAATCATAAAGCATATGTATCCCTTAAGTGAAAAACGACTTAGATTTTATCATAGAGATTTTGTAAAGACAGAGAGAGACTTAGATATCTATCAAACTACCAATAAGAATTAACTAAAACTGAGACAGCAAAAGGCACGGCATGTCGAATTAGAACAATCTTCCCCCGTGTACTAAATAAAGGGTTCGATTCAAAATTTCAACAAATATCACCTGAAGAAGGCCGGAACGTACAACGGCCGAAACGTCGTGAATGTGACAATAAATATGATGACAACAGTCTGAACAATGTAAATAGTGTAAGTTGCAATACAGAAACATAGGAAGACTAAATTACGAACTACCTCGCCATGGTACACAACCCACTGGATTCTAAACGCATAAGTATAAAACATAAACCCGAAAGACATCTAACCATTTCGAAAACCGATTGCGCGGCCGACCTTTAGGCAATTTGGCAATCACTCATCACTCTCTATTATTCAATCGGCAATGATACGCCACTGAGTGAACTTGTGCGCTATATGGCCGTCGTATTTACGATGATGGAGTGAGTACATTCATCACGTCTCTTGCTAATACGAGGATGGTCTGTCAAAAACATCGCATCACCTCCGGTCGGTCAGCACCCGGCTGCAATCCATATTTTCTCCCATGCGTGTTCTAGCATTTCCCGTGGACGAGATTAAGGAGAACGTGACAAGACGACTAATAACGATACAGAAAGAAGAGTGTGCAAACTTTTTCTTTCTAATTTTTTTTTTTTTTTTTGTTGAAAAGTGTTAAAGATGCTGGGAATGTGCGTGCAGTCCTGGGGTGGGGTTCATTTGATGAAGATAAAGCTGTCATTGTCCTAGGTAAGTTATCTTTCCCTTTATTAATATTAAATTCGCTGGGCATTTTCTGGAAAGACTTCACATGAATAAATCCTATTAAGCTGGATTATAAATAATTTCCGTTCTTATTCATCAACTTTATTCTTCAAAAATAAATTATAATTACATTTTATTCAATTCTATAGATTTTTTAAAAATCATTCCACTACAAGCAAGGCAATAAAGTCACCAAGACACAAGGGGCTTACTGAGTGTGAGAGATTATGAGAAAAACACTATTAAGGACAAGAATTAAGAAGACAGAAGATACCGATTGACATTACATTTAAATTTTGAAGATCAAACTTAACTGGGAAGGAAGAAGTCGGAAGAGAGTTTCACAAGCGAGAAGTGCGATAGCACAAAACTTACGGTTACATCTAGTCATTTCAACTGTAAAAAGATGAGACCTTACCGCCAATCTAGTACTGCGATGATATTCATAAAGTCTAAGTCCCATAGCTGAAAGTTCGTCAGAACAATTAACATGAAAGTATTTATAGAAAAGGCACAGGGAAGCTACGTTACGGCGGTAGGAAAGGGACTAAAGCCGAAAGCATTGCAAATTCTTCTTTGGATTTTATCAAGAATCTCTAAATGTATAGCAGGAGCTCTAGTTTATATGTGGCAGCAATATTCTAGACATGGACGAATGGGAGATTTATAAATATCTCTATCTATAAAAGGCAGGATGTGTGTGTGTGTGTGTGTGTGTGTGTGTGTGTGTGTGTGTGTGTGTGTGTGTGTGTGTGTGTGTAACGAATGCACGGCCGCAACTTTTGACGGTTTGCACCAAAATTTACATGTACATGCTCCAAGTTAGTGAGAAGGACAAGACCGACTTTGCATTTTCTCAACTTCCATCGATATTGGAAATAATCGACTTTTTCATGCTTCTACTGCAGTTTTCATGTAGTTTGCGGCCATTTTGTACTGGTCAGAGTGAGAGCCTATAGCTGGCTGCCACGAATAGGCAGGAAGATTCTATTGGCCAGCGTGAGAGCCAACAGCTGACTGACATGAATGTTAACTAGCATGCTAATATGCAAAAAAAAAAATCGATAGCTGCATTCGTCACAAGTGGGTAAAATTTAAATCTGCATGGCACTTTACTTCAATTGGCTCATTCGCTTGCTTAAACTCAACGTTAATTCTGATTCCGCGGAACTGGGTTAGGTGTGAAAAAGTATTTGTTGCTAACATTCTTTTTTCATTCGGTTTTTCCAGTTACGAATCCTTTTTTAAAGCTGATCGTTTAGTGTTCATTTTGTTTAATTCTTTTTTTGTAACAGAAATTTTTCGTAAATTTTTTAATGTTTAGTATAGAGATTCGAAAAAATTCGCAGTGTGAGATAGGCAAGAAGTAAGGCATGTAACAATATCAGCACGGCAAAGGGCACTCCTTTAAAGGCAAGGGTGAGCAAAAATATTTTAAGTCAAGTGATAGCGATTGCTGTATGAGTCGTACAATTTTTGAATCAAGCACGAGCAACGCCGGGCCATGCTGCTGGTGTAAGATAGACTGGATGTGCGCTGTCGTGTAATATCGGCTCGGAGTGAGAATTCGGAGAGCCTAGTTCGAATTCCAGTCGCGTTCGTTAGATTCAGTTACGCACAGATACCGTTGAGAAAATTATGAATCCATCTCTTCTCAAAAACCCCCAGCTATGGACAGACTGGGTCCTTTAGCATTGGCTGGTAACCAGTCTATTGCAAAAAAGATATGACAAACTACTGCGGTAAAAAATCTACCTCGTCAGACATGTATCGAAAGAAACATGATCGCCCAAATGTGTATCCCGTACGGCACTGAAGATAGATTCTGGAGAGAAAAATTGTCTTGGACGGCACAATGAACCAACCTTCGTAGCAGCAGACCCAGCAATTGATTCAATATAATCTTTCCATATCATGTATTTACCATTATTTGCAATGACTTGCTGCCACCTATCAGGCAACTCTGCGATGCTTTTTGAGTGAAATTATGTAGCTTTTGCCGCTAACAAACAAATTCTTGAATCTTTTAGTTATTAGAGAAGTTTTTCCCAATCAATGGATTTTACTGTATTCGGAAAAGTTAAAAATCGCTTGGTGCATGTTTGAATAATTCGGTTGGGGCAAAGCAGACCAACGAGTTATTCCCCCTTTATGCGGCCATGTGCTGTCATGAAAGAGTGCATTTTTTTTTCTTTAATCCTGAACATCCAAACTTCGACTTCTTTTCGTACTAATGCTGGTGTTCCCAGCCCCAGAGGGCGCCATCTTTCATCCAACTTTTTAAAAATTTTCATTAATGACCTTCCCAATGGCATCAGCTCTCAAAGTGATGACACATTTATTTATTCTTGTTTCGATAGTAAATCTGATCAGTTTGATAAGGTCAAAATGGCAGCTGATATCCAAAGCGACCTTCAGCCTGTTGTTAACTGTGGCAAAGAATGGGTTGTTAATTTTAACGCCTCCAAAACTAAACTGCTCTTTGTTAATCATCTGAGACACTCATCTCCGCCTTCCATCGGCATGACTGATGCTGACCTTCAGGAGAGTGACTCGTTGCGCCTTTTCGGGCTAACGTTCCGGGTTGACATAAAATGGAAAGCCTATATTGCAGCCATTGCTAGGTCAGCTGCTAAGAAAGTTGGTTCACTGTGTCGTACTAGACAATTTTTTCTCTCCACAATCTACCTTACATATCTATAAGTTACCCATACTTAGAATATTACTGCCACATATAGTCTGGTGCTCCTACTATTTACCTAGAGTTTTTTTTGTTTTTTTTTTTTATAAAATTCAAAGAATCGACAATATTATTGGTCCTGCTCTAGCGTCTCGGGTTTAGTCTTTTCCTCCACCGCTGTAAGGCTACCTCCCTGTGCCTTTTCTATAAATACATTCATGGTTAATGTTCGGATGAACTCTTCGCTATGGTACCTAGACTCTTTGAATTTAAGCGCAGTACTAGAATGGCGTCGAGATCTCATCAATTTACACGGATTAACGCTTGGATAAATGTTACGATAAGTTCTATGCTAACGGTTTCTTTTCACACACTTCCGCTCGTGGAACTCACTTCCGTCTTCATGCTTTTAACTTTAACCTGCAAAAACTGAAATGCAATGTCAATCGCTATCTACTGCCCTACTGGTTACTTTCTTTTCTTTCTGCTCATCATTAATGTTTCTGTTCCTATTTCTTCAACCCTCTGTAACCACTTGCGTGTTAGTGGCTTTATTGCCTTTCTTGTGAAACTCCCTTCCGGCTGCATGCTTTCCAACTAACTTTAACCTGCAGAAATTGAAATGCAATGTCAGTCGCTATCTACTGTCCTCTTGATTACTCTTCTATTGTTCCCACTCTTTAGCGATGTTTCTAACTCTTCCACATCCAGTAATTTCTTGCGTTTCAGTGGCTTCAGTGCGTTGCTTGGGGCGAAATCGATTAAAAAAGATCTACTGTATACGCTGCAATTGTCGCAAAACTAAGGAATATTCGTGTAGTCAAAATTTACACCTTCTTATGATTAGTAGTTAGGTCAATACATTCGTCATTACAATTGATTCCTACAAAATAGAAAGTACTTATGACTCAAACTAAGAGAACGAGCTGTTGATAAGCAGCTATTTTCCTTGTTCGTGAGAGAGAGCACTCACTGGGGAGGACCCTGTGCGCCTCTTCACACCAAGGTGGCTGTCGGTGTCTATAAACAGAAGTGTAAAATTACTGAAAAAAAAATGATACAAGGTGACCAACCAAGATGGACGCATAATGAAGTGAACCATGCAGAGAATTTTGTTGTTCTAACTTTTCTATATTTTATTTTCCTTTTCTTTTATTTTTCCGTGTGTTCTGCATTAGTTTGTCGCGTCTTCTTACTGTCATGGCGATAGACAACGATTGTAAAGAAAGAAAAGAAAGAAAGAAAGAAAGAAAGAAAGAAAGAAAGAAATGAGCGGTGTCAAAGTATAACAGAAATGGAGACGAAACAACATATCACAGGGGAGGTGACAAATGAAAAGAAAGAATGTTTTTAACGTATAACAGTAAGGGTAAGAAAGAAAGAAAGAAAGAAAGAAAGAAAGAAAGAAAGAAAGAAAGAATAACAAAACATAACGGAAAGAGAAACGATAAAAAATACAACATAATTACGAAAAGAAAGAAAGAAAGAAAGAAAGAAAGAAAGAAAGAAAGAAAGAAAGAAAGAAAGAAAGAGAGAAAGAACACAAATCATAGCAGAAAGAGAAACAGAAAGAAACAACCTACCAAAAGGAAGATTTCAAATGAAAACAAAAAGAAATAAAGAAGAAAAGAAGAACCGTATAAGAGACAGAGAAAAAGAAATAAACAATATTCCAAAAGAGTGGAAGAGAGACAAAGAAATGAAAGAAAGAAAAATGAAAGAAAGAAAAAAGGAAGAAAGAAAAAAGGAAGAAAACAAAAGAAAAACAGAAAGAAACAACAAACCAGAAGATAAAAAGAAAAAAAGAAAGAAAAAAGAAAGAAAAAAGAAAGAAAAAAAGAAAGAAAGAACGGTGTCAAATGAACACAGAAAAAGAAACAAAAGAAAACCATAAAAGCAAAAAGAAAGACAGAAAGAAAACATAAAATTAATGAATAAGGTGATTTTTTTTTTTTAAATACCATCAACCCCCACCTCCGGGGCCATCACCAAAAAAAAAGTCTTTAAACACAAAAAAAGGTAAATTATATGCAGGAAAACAAGAGAGATCATTGTTTGAGAGGCGAAGAAAAATTTGGAGAAATGTATCCAAGGGTAATGTCCCTGCCTTGTAGGTTGATCCTTCTTGTACGTATGCGTGCTCAGAAGCAGAGGAACACCTTGAAGCAGTTGTAAGTGGAAACACATGCGCTCGTAACACAAACCTGTAGACAGAGAAACACATTGTTGTACAAACAGAGACGGTAAATAAAAGAAAACAAACGCTTATATGCCGACCAACCCGACCCTAGAATAACACAGAACAAAACCATAACAACAGAAAGGAGACGCTTCAAGTTGTAAAAATCCAAGCAAAAAAAAAAAGAAAAGAAAATGTCGACAAAGCTAGAAGGAAAAAAAAAGGAAGAAATTTCACATCGGTAACAATAACATCTTGAACATCCATAATCGTAGACTGCAACAACGTTGTAATTACGAAGATATTTACATTAATTTAGGTAATGATACTCGTCTAATAGAAATTTATAAACTTGATATTTAATTAGATGAGTTCGAGTAGCACGTGGAACTAGAACAGTCTACCCCAGTGGGCGAAATAAAGGGTTCAGTTCGACATTTCAACCACCTGAAGAAGGCCGGAGCGTACAACGGCCGAAACGTTGTAATAAATATGGCGACAAAGATGAGGACAATAGTCCGTATAATGTAAATAATGGGAGGACAGATATCACGTAACAGTTCAGTACTCGTTTCTTTGTTTCCAGAGAATATTTTCTGTTCCTTAATACTTTGCTTAGCTTTTGGAAGGCATCTTTCGTTATCCCAATGCGCCTCGGATGTCAGTGTCGCACGTTCCGTCCTCTGTTAAAAAAAACACTTCCAGATATTTAAATTTCCGATATTGTTTTATTTTGCTATCACCAATTTGTAATTTGCATTTTGGGCTCATCTTCTTGCTAACAACCATGCATTATGTCTTCTTGCAATTGATGTTGATCCTTTTTTCTCGTTATCCTTCACTACCTTCTGTAGGGGTTTTGTCTTTATTTTTCTTCTATGGTATGAATGATTCAGGTTCTCCACAGCTTTCTATCTCTTGTGACCATTAGCAGTTTTCCCCTCTTGCTAAAAATAACAATTCCCGTTTCCCTTCCATTCACACAAGCTCATCAGGTAGGTGGATCGCTGCCTCCCAGTATCTCTCTTGCTCCCAATATACCCTGTGAGTGTTAAGTTTTCCAAGCCGTTCTTCCTCATTATGTCTCCAAGGAATTTCAGCTGCTTGTTCTTGATTCTGAGCTGAACTGTTTTTTTTGTTTTTGTTTTTTTTTTTTGTTTTTTTGTATCATTTCCTTTTAAGGTTATCCCATTACTTACTCGCTCCGTCCATGGAATACACAGTATCCTTCTGTAGAACCACATTTCAATTGCTTCTAGTTTTTTCCTCATACTTAGTGTGAGGGTGTTGTCCAGCATTCACTGCCATATAAGAGGATGGATGTCGCAATCAAGAACTATTTTCTTTTTTTCTAACGAAATTTCTCTGTCTCTTATTACTTCGCTTAGCTTTTGGAAAACATCTTTAGCTCGTCCGATGCGTGTTCGGATTTCGGCGCCGCATTGTCCATCCTCTGTTAAAACACTTCCCAGAGACTTAAACTTCCCGGGGGAAGGTGGGGGTAATAAAAACAAAATCAAAGTTTCGACATAGGTAGGTGTTATGGTAACTACCTACATGGGAATGAACTCTTCTTCCTTTCATAAATACTAACCTGCGAGACTTCCTTCGGGAGACGGCCGAGACGCAGTGTAACCTGACAGTTTGAACGGACACTTCTATCTGCTGTCTAATAACACTCTTACTTTGTATATGTACACTTGTTTAACCTACCTTTTTTCTTTCCGTGTCTTTCTTTCTGGCCCCTAACAGGCCACGACAGTAGGGGAAATAACTCAAAGACAATTCATTAAAGACTAACCCGAAATTGTTACAAAGCAATATTGGTGATTTACTAAGATTAGTAATAGTTGAGCTAGCGACTCAGGCTTGCTAACCATGACACCACATCGAAGTACCTAGCTTAGATGTTCTTACAAAGCTGAAATTGTGTAGCATTCATTTAGGATCAAACATACAACCACGTCATACTTGCTCTAGTGAGACATGTGTGCGTACCATTCAAGAAGACAGAAAATATAATCGTTAGCAAGAAGAACAGCCCAATATGCGAGCTATGTATTTGATACGACACGATGAAACTCGTACAGAAATCTGTTGATTCAACTATCAATTCAACTATTCATTTAGAGATGTATTATATTTCATAACTGATGTCTTTTCTAGAAAGATATTTAAATATATAATACGCATAATTTGTCTGTTTTATTTAACAAAACACATACAGACACACGCGCGCACACGCATACAGATACACATACACAGGCTGTGCAAAAGTAGACATACAGTAATGAAAAACAAAATGTATTGTATTATACAGAGTGTTTCAAAATCTGGACACATAGAATTATATGGACATTATCTGTATAATCCTCTAGACATATATGTATAATATCTGGACATTATCCGTATAATAATCTGGATACACAGGATTATACAGAAGGTTTCTAAAATCTGGACACATAGAAAATCTCATTAACTATATATTTTTCTTTTACCTCCACAAATTGAACATTGTTTTCTCCAAAGAAGAACGAATTGGCTTATTTTTCTGGGGCTATGCTAAAGGAGAAGGTGTACTCAATGAAAATCACAGATGCAACACACTTGATTGAACGCATAAAGAGTGAATTTGATAAAATTGACGGCAATGTGGATTTATTGGATTGAGTTCACGTGCATCTTGCAAAACGCACCAACCTTTGCCTCACAAATAAAGGAAAACAGATAGAAAATATTTGTTAATATTCCATTTCAATAAAATATTGCTGAAAATTTCATTTCTTGGAAATATGCATTTTTGCCTATGTGCCCAGATTTAAAGCTACACGAGTATTAGTATATCAATAACAAGCAATAAGTAGAGGCTGGCCGCTCGTATCCGAGGATATCCATCTACAAGGGAGGTTAGCCAATCCCTATTGCAGACGCCTGCTCGGACATATTTGTGCTTGTTCAACACCCACAGAGCCCACCTGTGGTTTATACTGCAACTTTGTTGAGCGGGTCTTAATTACAGTTTCTGGGAAAGAGCGCATTATCTGGCGTAATCATCATTTGAAAAAAGATAATATCCAAAACCCTCGATCACGATGACTTGCGACTTCGTGCTAGCTTGACCATCGACGACTCCTATACTAACTAACATATCAGTTATAAACATATGAATTCCTCAATTGTTCAATTTCTTTACCCCGTCATTCACACACACCTTTTTATCTGCAAAGCATTTATGATTATTATTTTTTAATAAATAATATTATTAAAAAATAAAAATTATAATAAATTTGTTATAATAAAAATATTAAAAATGATTTTAATGAATTAAATTATTTCTAGTATCATAGAAACACTACTATAATACAAGTATAATACTTATTGTATACCTACATTTGCAGCCTCGTATATATATATATATATATATATATATATATATATATATATATATATATATATATATATGCGCCCAAATCCGGTTGAGTTCACTTGAGAAAAGGGTAATTTTAAAATCAGTGGCTCCTACTGCTATTAACACATTGCTCTTCAACTGAATTGAGCTCTCTGGGCTACTGGTGTATTTCTTATAGAAAACGTTAAAAATTCCCAAACTCTCTGGTGTGCGGCGATAGCCTAGGGGTCGGGTTTCGATCCCGGTCTGAACCAACCGGACGACTAGCCACACTGAAGAACTGTGATACAACGAAACAGTCTGTGTGGATAACTATATGTGTGTGTGTGTGTGTGTGTGGCAATTGAATGACAAAGTGGAAAAATTTCCTATAATGTGTTTCGTCCCCTAGAAGGACTTCATCAGACTAGAGGACGAAACGCGTTACACATATTTTCCACTTTATCATTTTAATATATAGATATTTATATCTCGTATTTTTTTTAATGATATCTTCACCTTGTATGAGGTGCAAGAACAACTCGAGGAAAAGGGTTACAGAGTAAGGGATAGAGAGGAGGAAATAAAGATTAACCCTAGACAGATTATAGTGAACGGGGAAGCATCCTTTTGGGAGTCGATTACAAAACATAGTGGCTCGTGGGAAGGATCTGTTCGGGTGGAACTTACATCACAACAACGAAATAAGAATCGAGCGAGGGTGGTTTGCTACAATGTGCGTGGCATGGCGCTCCTTAGTCGTGAAATTTAGAACTGGTGGAACTAAGGAAAATAGTTCATCTGAGCACTTTCCATGGAAATAGCGATAGAACAACGAGAGATTTGCAACGCTCCCAGGTATGTATGTGTATGTATGTGTTTGTGTCTCTCTGTGTGCGTATGTAAAACAGAGCGCACATAGCCTAACCACATCGATCTATGCGGGTATCGGTCTAGTTTATATAAAACTAGTTTTACAAATTTTTACAGTGGTTAATGAATTCGTGCAGATTGTTTGCATAAAAATTTCACAGCAGAACGGCCACCCAGACCCACAAAATGATTCGGCAGGCTTTACATGTTAAACAAAGGTTTGTAAGTGACACGCGCTTTCAAGGCCGGTAGAATGTTGGTTTAAGGGAGTGAGCGCTCAGGATGAGTAATCAGCAGGAAAATGCCAGAGAATCTACGTAGAAAAATAATCCCGAACTCTTCCACGAGGACTGTTAATTTAAATAATAAATTCAAATGCATATCAATAATCCAATAATTTACTTTGTTGAATTTTTTAATACTACGTTTTATTTTGACCTGCCATGTTGCTAAGGCCTAAAATACACCGAATACATCCCCGGA